ACATTTTGGACGTTTTACTGTAAATTTATTTAAATTGAGAAAAAAAATAGTTACTACCCATCTCTGAATGATTGCAGGCAAAGATGGGTAAGTGTAAAAAAAAACTCGGAGATTTTCTACGTGTTACCTAAATGAAGTAACATATGTAACAAATTGTCGCCAACTTCACAAACGTGAAACAAATGACATAATTTTAATGCATGCATTAAAACTTTAATAGAAACGATCTATGAATATTACTAAATTTAAGGAAATTTAATTGATCAATCCTTATGTAACTTTAACCATATTTATTCAAGGGAACAACGATTGACATAAAATTGCAACGGTACAACGATTGAAAATTCAATGAAAGTGTAATCTAAAAAAAAATGTCTAAACTTACTGTGATTCGATATACTTTTGGGTAATTTCATTACATGAATTATGAAAAATTCAAGTATGATATTACAACGTAATTTTCCGGTTTTTAATTATAAAGAATAATTTTTTTTTCACTTTCTCCATGCCAAAATTAATTTTCTTTTGCATAAATAAATACCTTGGTTACTAAAGATTATGAATCCATAAAAAAAATTTCAGTTCTAATTCCGTCGGAATCCCATCGGAAATTCTTTGGAACTCCGATGGAATTCCGACGGAATTACGTTGGAAGTTCCTGCGGAATTCTGATAGAACCTCCAGGGGGCAATTCCGATTAATTTTTTCAAAATTTTTAGAGTCAAAATTCCGTCAGAATCCCATCGGAAATTCTTTGGAACTCCGATGGAATTCGGACGGAATTACGTAAGGAAGTTCCGGCGGAATTCTGATAGAACCTCCAGGGGGCACTTTCCGGGGAATCTTTCCAAGTGGGATTAGAATGTAAAAAATTGTAATGGGTTATTCCACGGGAAATTTTCATTCAAAAAATTTTTTTTTCGAATTCTATATGAAAAATAAGAAAATATCTATTTTTTTATTCGATAAAAATGAAGGAAGTTATGATTTTTTGAAATTTAACGTCATCAAAGGCGGTGTATTTTTTGGAATATTTTTTTATTGTACTTAATGAATAAAATGTTATGCTGTGCACTTTTTCTCAAATTTTTCAAATATGTTCTCAAAAATAACGTACCTATAACGGAAGTAACAAAAAAGTTAGAATTAAATTTAAAAAGTGAGTTTTCTCAAAGATAGACCCGATTTTTAAGCTAGACGCAAAGATTTATAGTATGTATTTTTGAAAATTAAAAAAAAACAAATGAAGGATAATGAAAAAAGGTGATTTGACTCATTACCTAAATTCATATATATATATTAAATTAAAATCCGTTAATGACTAAATGAAATGAAATAAAATTAAATGTATATAGAAAGAAATTTTGAGTTGTTGCAATTTCGTCAACACGTGGTAAAAATGGAAAAACCCAATTTCTCCTCAATGTTGAGAATTATTGAAAAACTGACAAAAACCAATCCTGGTGTTTAATTTTATAGGTTATATTGCACGTATGGCAAAACCATTTTGGGGAATTCCGAACTTGTGGAAAAACTGGCAAGGATCATTTCACAGCTTTACTTTGAATGGGGCTAAATAGGAAAATTTCTGCAATGGAGAATTCATCCACTTCCTCTACCTCTCTACCATTTAACTTCCGCACTTCCTCTTTCTTCTCTTTCTTCTCTCTCTAAATCATAATACCTTCATCTTTTGCAGACTCACAACAAATATTTTTCTCCTATAGGTTTCAAATTCACTCAATAACAATCTTATCCCTCTCTCGTCATCAATCATTAAGAGGCCAAGTTTCACCAACTCCGGTTAAAAAGTTAATCAGCGATTAAAGCTAATTTAACCGATTAAATTGGCTTTAATCGCTGATTAACTTTTAACCGAAGTTGGTGAAACTGGCCCTAAGGGGCGATACTTAAATTAAGTGCTCTTTTTTGGAAATTTGAATCCTAGACATTAGCGCCATTTTTTTACTGTGTGTAACAAATAGCTTGACCCTAATGAAGCGTTACGTAATTTAAATATGGCCCCTAAGTCCGTATAAACTTGCAAGTACATCCTTCCCTTTCTGAATATCACCTTTTCCTGTCCTTACTAATTTCATCTCAAAGACAGCCATCAGCAGGTTAAAGATCGGGTTCAGTAGATATCTCTGATTTAATCCCCTATCTTACTTACTCTTCTCTACTCTTAAATTTTTCTACACAATATAGATGTAATTGTTTCAAAGTTCGAATTAGTTCAATATAGTCACTAAAAAAAAATTATCCTCTAAATTTAAGGATACGTATATCTTCTTGGCGCATTTAAGAATATTTTCCATGCATTTTATTCTTACAGTTAGAAATTCTTAAAAATAAGAAACACTTCTTGAATTAAGATTTTTTTTCATCTTGCCTGTAAAATATTTCTTAATTTAAGAAGTGGTTTCTATTTTAAGAACTTCTAACTGTAAGAATAAAATGCATGGGAAGTATTCTTAAATAGGCGCCAAAAAGATATTCTTTTTAGAATATAATTTTTTCAGTAGCGCGTTAATCGTATTAAATCAACTTTAACTATATATAGAAAAATTAAAGAATTGAATATTTTCTAAACTTTATTGGGTTTAAAATTAACTTCGGAATTTTTCGAATATCATTTTTCTGATAAGTACATTTATATTTTTTGAGGCGAAAAAATAAGCTCCAAAACTCAATTAGTAGAATTTACATTTGACAGAATTTCGTTATCTAGAATTTAAATTTAGCCGACTTTTTATTTAACAGAACTTTTTGAAATAAATGTCTGGCAGAAAATTTTTCGCGCTTATTTTAAAATTAATCAATCAGAAATTATCAACAAAATTATGATTGGTGAATTTTAAAATAAGCGCCAAAATTATTCTATCAGACATTTATTCGAACAAATAAAAATTCTGTAAATGAAAATTTCATTTGGAAAAAAATAAAAATTCGGTTAAATGTGATTTCTTATAATAATAATAATGAAAATTTGGCTAAAATTAAATTATATGTAATTATTCTGTAAATGAAAATTCTAATAAATTAATTTTAGAGCTTATATTCTGCATAAAAATAAAATTCAAAAATTTTCATTTAGTTAAAGAGCTAATAATTCGGAATTTTTTTTTTTTTAATAATTATAACAGGTTCTTTAATCTGCTATGATCTGGATCCTCAATTAACTTTAAAGTGAAATTCGATACTATTCATAAAGCCGATAATCAGATTGAAAACTATTGCATAGGCGGGTTAATAGAAAATTTAATAACTTTTAATTAGAAAAAAAATCTTCTTTCAATTAGGCTAATAGAACCAGATATATTTACGTTTAAAACCACTTTTATTCATAATAAAAAAGAAGAAAATATGTATATATCTTGAAAGTAATTTTTTTTATTTTAAACCTAATTTAAATAAGTTTTATAAAATATCTGTATGTTTAAAAAATAGTAAAAAAAAATTTAATATTAAATTTCGTATTAAAATTTTTTTTTTTGGTTTCAGTGAAGTTAGTAAAAGTTATAAAAATCGTAAATAGAGGAAAGCAAATAGTAAATTTTTTTTTATGTAAATTTAGTCATATAAACTCAGTTAAAATAAAAAAAATATCTTATTCTTTCAAAATAGGCAAACAGCAATTTTATAATAACTCTAAATTTTCTTTAGGGTTCAATAAACTAACATTAAAAAATGTTCCATTGCTTAATTTAAAGAAAAAAAATATCTACGGAATATTTCATATTTCAAATCTTCAAAAAAAGAAACAAATTTCAGCAAAAAAAAAAAAAAAAAAAAGAAACTTATCTTTAAGTGCGGACAGACAAATACCAAACCAATGTGTCATCAACGATTATTTGTCTGAATTCGAGACTTTCTTAATAGTTCAGGTTATAGTCTGAGCAGAATATTAAATATAATATGCGTTATCAGTTATTTTACATTACTACAGAATTGCTTAATAAATTTAAGTATTTATTACTTGAATAAAAAAATAATAAATCAAATTATTATTACTTTTCTAAAATTCTTATAAAATTTTATGTATACTTTTATTTATTCCATTTAAATGGATTAAGATGTTTTAAAATAACATGTTTCTACCCTTTTAGATCCTCTTTAGATTTACATTCCTTCTCTAAATTATAACAGATATATTTAAATTTAAAAAAAAATTACTTAAAAATACTTTTTAAAAAAAACAGATTGAATACGAAAGATAAATTCTCGAAAGGATGAATTCGTGTTAGAAGATAGGTTAAAAGGAGTTAGTAATTTTCGGAGATTTGAATGCGTGTAAATGAGAAACAAAACAGGTGCTCTAGAAACAACAGGTTGCGTTATTATTTATAGAAATCTGTTTCAATTTCAAAATTCTTTTTCCTTTTCCAAAATATCGTTTAGAAAAACGATAAATGCACTGAAAAAACATAACTATTAATTATATCTTCTTGGCGCTTATTTAAGGATATACTTTATACTTAAATTCAGTATATACTATTCTTAAAATAAGTCTATATTCTTAATATTAGAAATATATTATTAGTATATTTTCTTATAATATATTTCTAATATTAAAAGTATATTCTTATTTTAAGAATAGTATATACTTAATTTAAGTATAAAATATCCTTAAATAGACGCCAAGGAGATATACTTAAATTTAGATTTACGTTTTTTCGGTGTGTGTGAATCTGACAATTTAATTTGTAATTATTCTATATAAATATCACAGAAAATTAAAAGGCATTAAAATAAGCTATGCAACGCTTCTTATTTTAATCCAATTTTGCTTATTTTAATACCAAAATGAATTAAAATAAGCAAAATTTTGGTATATTAAAATAAGTAAAATTGGATTAAAATAAGAAGCGTTGCTGCTTATTTTAATGGAATTTTAATTTTCTGTGTAAATACTGGTTCGGAATAAAAATTTATGTTTAAGAAATAAACTTATTTATGTAGAAGAAATAGGAAATTCAGTAATATTATTTGAAACTTACCATCTGGGCATATGCACTCGTACTGAAAGGGTTCCAGAAGATGACAAGAGCCTCCGTTCAAACATGGCGAAGGATCGCAAGGTATGTATTCGTTTTCGCAATTTTGCCCTGTATATCCACTGTCGCATACACATCTGAAAAAATAACATTTTAAATATCAATATTATTCCTGAATTTATAGTGGTTTTAGAGTCCTTTAAATTATTTTTAAATTAGATCACGAAATAAAGTCAAATTTCATTTTAAATTAAATACACTCGAGTCATTTATTTTTTTTAACTAATACACGGAAAACAAAGAAAAAGTAATTCTTACTACTTTCGGAGTAAAACGGGAACTGTCCAAAGTTTCTGCGCATCTCTGGCAAATTTTACTCCAAAAATAGTAAAATTTACTCTGGAAATAGTAAAAATTACTACGGAAACAGTAAAATTTACTACAGAAATAGTCAATTTTACTATTTTTGGAGTAAAAATTGTCAGAAATGCGCAGAAACTTCGGACAGTTCCCATTTTACTCTGAAAGTAGTAAAAATTACTTTTTCTTTTTTTCCGTGTATAAATTCACGGAAAGGAATAAAGTAATTTTTACTACGTAAAATCTGAACTGTCCGCAGTTTCTGTCAATTTTTACTCCAGAAATAGTAAAATTTCCTCCGAAAATAGTAAATTTTACTATTTTTGGAGTCAAAATTGACGGAAACTGCGGACAGTTTAGATTTTAGGTAGTAAAAATTACTTTATTCCTTTTTCCATTTTTTTCCGTATTCTTTTTAATAAAAATTTATTATTAAAGTTATTCAATTGTCTCGTGTTTCCGAATTGCAATAAAACAAATGTTGTCAATTTTTAATATATGTATACACTTAAAAAATTATATTCTAATTTTAAGAATATATCTTCTTGGCCGCGAAATTAAGAATATTTCACGCATTTATTTTATTCTTATAGTTAGAAATTCTTCAAATAAAAAAACAATTTTTAAATTAAGAAATATTCTACAGACAAAAGAAAAAAAAAATTTTAATTTAAGAAGCGTTTCTTATTTTAAGGATTTCTAACAATAAAAATAAAGTTCATGGTAAATATTCTTAAATGCGCCAAGAAAATATGTATTCTTAAATTTAGAGGATAATTTTTTCAGTGATATATGCTATTATAAACCATTTGAAAAATGAACAAAAAACGCTGTTACCATTATTTGCCAATTTCATCAACATTTAAGAGAAAAGAATATTAATAATTTAGAGAATTCATTCAACTCTCTAAATCTGAATTAGTAAAATAATAATAACTAATTTTAAATAGAGGTCGTCCATAAATTACGTCACACTTTAAGGAGGAGAGCGGGGGGTCAGTAAATTTATGATAACCAGCAGAAAAAATGGCGCTAATGTACGCAATAGTTTGTGGACATGGGGGAGGGTCAAACAAGGTAAAAATAAAATGTGTGACCCCATATGGGCTGACTTTTTTTGCTATCAATTAGATGAATTTTACTGTTGAATTAGGAAAATAATTTTTTTTTTTTTTTGATAAATCGTTAGTAAATTTTAACTAATTTATAGCAAAAAGTCATTATGGAGTCTTTCAAATTTTTAAAAACATAAATTAACGGTTTATTCTAAAGAAAATTTTACTGAAGCGAAAGAATTTTTAAAATCGAACAAACATTTATTATATTTTTAAACTTTTGAGAAAGAAAAATCTATAAAAAAGTTTCTAATTTAAGGTTTAAAAAATTTACAAGACTCCTTAACTAACTAATCTGTAAAAGAAAGTACTAAAACAGTACCGATTTTAGATATCAAAATAGAACCAAATGACAATTTCGTACCTAAAGTCGGTATTAAATTAATACCATTCTTTTTACAATATACGTATGATTTGGATTTAAAATTAATTTGATACACGGAAAAAAAATCTTTACCTGAAACAGCGATATGTTTCACTAAAACAGTAAAAGTTTTCGCTATTCTAGAGAAACATATAGCTGTTCCAGATAAAGATTTTTTTCCCCCTGTAATATTGAAATTATATATAACTAAAATTTGATTCACCAAAGCGTAAAAACATTTTGTTTACTATGTGCTTAAATTTTTTTATGATATTAATGTTTCTTAGAATGTTTTAAATGAAAGCAAGAAGTATGGTGTTTCATAACAATTAAAATTCTATTCTTAAATTTTAGATAAATAACCAAATTAATAATAAATTAAATTTTTTTTGGAAAATGCACAAAAAGGACCTTCTTTTTCAGATTAATACACTAACTTAAAAGTATCAATTTGATACTAAAAAATATAGAATTGATTTAAAAATTTGTATCAATTTGATATTTTCAGTATCAATTTGATACTTTTAGTGTAAATTGAATATTTTTCGAACATTGCTACATTTAAATGAAAAATACAACAATTATTTATTTTTCATCAAATACATACCTCGCACCAATTATTAGAAGCGGAAGTACAGACAAAATGTAGTGAAGATTCATTTTCAATTTGTTTATCTTGAGGTGATAAAAACATAGTCTTCATATTTTACTAAGATTCAAGAAAATTGCACATTTACTGCATATTCTTTAAAAAAAAAAAACTATATCAAATACTGAAGAAATACACGAACTTATAAATTAGACAAAAACTTAAACTTTGAACTCAATTTAATAACAATCATATAGATTTTTTTTTAGAAATTCACTATTCAAAATCCATTGCATTTGTTCAATAACAACTTGATGGATCATTAAAACTGTTTATACAATTTTTAATTAAAATTTAAAAAAGCGATTGCACTTGATAATTTTAACTTCCCGAAGCAGTTATTTTAAAATAAAAATAAATAAACAGAAAAAAAACAACGAATATAATTTATGAAAAAAAAAAAAAGAAAATATTGTCAAGTCCCTATCACATTGATGTCGAAAACTGGTGGTGGCGTACCCTCCCTCCACAAATCCTACCACTGCATTTGACTATAGACGAACACTGGCCGAACCTGTTTTCCCACGTTTTTACCGCACTTCGTTCCCAGTTGTCGGTTCTTGTCATTGGCACTAGCACTGCTTGGACCGCAAATGAGTACAAGCAACAAAATACATTTTGAAACAATCTTGAAAGATCGGAGCTACTTGTATATATATATGTCTTTTTCTTTTAATTTAATTTTTTTTTTATGTCATTGTCGTCATCAAGTTACAAATAACTGGTACGCAGAATTATTCAAGTATCCATGGAGAAGTTTTTAAAACAGAGAGAAATCGAGGCGTTGCCATATCTCGAGAGTAGCACTCAACACTAATAATTCACAATTTAAAACCACTCTCAACATCATTAAAACAAATTTAAATCATTCACAATTAATAAAAATTTATTTCGAAAATTATTTTTTTTGAAATAAATTATTTTTTTTTTGAATTTTTAAACTGACGAATTCTTCAACTATTTTCAATTCTTAAGCACAATTTATTTAATATAAAATAGAAAATAAATATTTTTAATAATTAAATTAAATTTAAGCCGAACAAGATAAGTAACGTACATTACACTTGAACGGTATGAGAGAGACTAACCTAACCTTTCTCTCTATCCTATTCAGAGGGCAGCTCCATTTACCTCGGGCAGGCTCCAGACCCAATCAATCCCCTCTCTTTGGGAGAGAATATTTCTTGTTCCCCCCTTATATACATTCGTTCAAACCAACAAGTAAACGCGTTAAACGGGTTCAAAACTTGTCGGGACTCTTCGGTAATGTTCGTTCTACATCGTTTCCGCTCGGTAAGGTTCTTCTCTTTTTCATTCTCAAATGCTCCGCGCACACACAGCCTCTCTTTTATCCATTTGCTCGCGATACCCCCTTCAATATACTTTTAAAACTTAGTGCTGTCTTTAAAGATTTAAGGGCCCTAGACCCCATGATTTTGTTTTTCTCTAACATTCCTCGATTTCATAAAATTGACAAAATTTTATCTAATTTTAAAGTTTTTTTAAAAAAAATTTTTTATCATCATTTCCGGGCTCTATGTAACACAGATGGGGGAAAAAAGGGCATTTATTTTATTGAAATTCTATCAAAGCGACAATTATTAGAAACACTTTTTTTTGAATTCTCAGAAAGAGTTCTTTAAAATATGCTGTATCTGTATCTATACTGCTTTCAAATCTGAATATACAGAGAAAAGATTTCTTTGATTTAAAGAAACCAATTTCTTCGGTTTTCTTTGATTAAAACATAAAAATTTTCTTTGGGACAAAAAAAGTTTCTTACAATTAGTTTCAAAAGAAAATTTCTTTGATTCAGATAAAATTTTCATTGAATTAAAGAAAATTGTACATTAAATCAAAGAAATTCTAACAATGATATACCCCCACAGCAGCGAAACTTTCCTAAAGATTTATTTGAAATGTTCGGAATGTTTAATTGCGAACATTTCAAATAAATTTTTAGGAAATTTTTAGAAAAGTTTCGGTGCTGTGGAGATAGAGTCAAAGAAACATTTCTTTAAATTAAATAAAAAATTTCTTTGAAACGAAGATCATTTATTTTTTGAAATTTTTTTTGTATAATATAGAATTTGTGTTACACTGAAAAAATTATCCTCTAAATTTAAGAATACATATTTCCCTAGCGCATTTAAGAATATTTCCCATACATTTTATTCTTAGTTAGAAATTCTGAAAATAAGAAACGCTTCTTAAATTAAGAATTTTTTCTTTTATCTGTAGAATATTTCTTAATTTAAAAATTATTTTTTTATTTGAAGAATTTCTAACTATAAGAATAAAATAAATGCGGGAAATATTCTTAATTTCGCGGCCAAGAAGATATATTCTTAAAATTAGAATATAATTTTTTAAGTGTATATATTAAAAATTGACAACATTTGTTTTATTGCAATTCGGAAACACGAGACAATTGAATAACTTAAATAATAAATTTTTATTGAAAAGAACACGGAAAAAAATGGAAAAAGGAATAAAGTAATTTTTACTATGTAAAATCGAAACTGTCCGCAGTTTCTGTCAATTTTTACTTCAGAAATAGTAAAATTTACTATTTTCGGAGGAAATTTTACTATTTCTGGAGTAAAAATTGACAGAAACTGCGGACAGTTCAGATTTTACGTAGTAAAAATTACTTTATTCCTTTCCGTGAATTTATACACGGAAAAAAAGAAAAAGTAATTTTTACTACTTTCAGAGTAAAATGGGAACTGTCCGAAGTTTCTGCGCATTTCTGACAATTTTTACTCAAAAAATAGTAAAATTGACTATTTCTGTAGTAGTAAATTCTGAAAATAAGAAACACTTCTTAAATTAAGAATTTTTTCTTTTATCTGTAGAATATTTCTTAATTTAAGAATTGTTTCTTATTTTAAGAATTTCTAACTTTAAGAATAAAATGCATATGGGAAATATACTTAAATTGCGCCAAGAAGATATTCTTAACACAGAAAATTAAAAGGCATTAAAATAAGCTGCAACGCTTATTATTTTAATCAAATTTTGCTTATTTTAAGACCAAAATTTGGCTTATTTTAATCCATTTTGGTATTAAAATAAGCAAAATTGGATTAAAATAATAAGCGTTGCAGCTTATTTTAATGCCTTTTAATTTTCTGTGATATTTAGAATAGAATTTTTTCAGTGAAATCAAGAAAAACATTTTTAGTTTTACAAGAAAAACTCTGGATTTTATTACATCAATGACAAAAATTTCATTCGCTTATTTTAATGGGTCCCGAGAGTATATCGAAATCTGAAAAACATTTTCTGCTGATGTCTTAAAAGTACGCGATCATTATAGCAGAAATTTTTTTTAATCGTATTGCAAAAATTGGTAATAACTAGCAAAGTTGTAAGCCATAAATGTACAGTAAATTATAATTGCAATATGTAATAGACTGGAAATTGTGTTTCTTGCGATTAAAAGAAGAATATTATTGTAATTGTTGTAAAAAGTGGTTTTTAGTTCGTGTGACCATATTTTGTTGAAAAAGGTAAAAGTGACCTTTAAATCTTAAAAATTCTGTTTTTTTTTAAATAATTACTCTTCACTTATGTGAATTACAAATTTTCCCTTTTTTTTGAACAGCAGAAAATGCTTTTCAACTCAAAATTTAAGCAATATTCGCTAATATATATATATTAAAGTGGATTTTTAAAACACTTCTTAAAACTAAAAATATGTTTCTTTTAACATCTCACTTTGAACAATAATACTTCAGGTGAAGAAAAATGATACGATAACGAGACAAAGAGAAATCAATACCAGAAAGTGTTTCATACGTTAGTAAGAAACATGAAAAAGAAGAAACATATTTTCTTATTGAACGTACCCTATTTTACGCGTTTTAATTTTAGGCACACGGAGAAAAATGGAAAAACGAACAAAGTAACTTTTACTACTTTAATAGTAAAACCTGAATTGTCCGCAGTTTCTGCGCATTTCTATAGCAATTTTCACTTCAGAAATAGTAAAAATTGTTTCAGAAATAGTAAATTTTACTATTTCTGAAGTAAAAATTGTCAGAAATGCGCAGAAACTGCGGACAATTCAGATTTTACTTTTAAAGTAGTAAAAAGTTATTTTATTCGTCTTTCCATTTTTCTCCGTGCATATTTAATCGAAATAAAGATACAAATTTAAGATAAAGTGGAAGTTATATAAAACAAAAAATTCCTCATTACATGAAATAATTTGAATTTTTATTTTGTGTTTTATAAAAATAAAAGTAAGGTGTATCACACCAGAACACTTGTTACAGATTTTTTCATTTAAACCCATCAAGGATCATAAAGATCTTTAAAAACATAAACCAGTGTTACCTATATAGGTAGAAAATTTTCAGGTAGAAAGGGGCAGTTTAAAGCAGTATTTTTTAAACCCTTACGCTTGTGACAATGGGATTTATGGTTTAATGCACCTTACTTTACTGATGTTATGAAACAAAAAATCAAAATGAAAAATAGTTAAGAAAATAATTATCAGATTTTATAAAAGTATTTTAAAAAAATATAGTAAAAAATGCAAATCACATTTTAGAAATGAACAGGAAATTTGGATCATTTTTTAATACCTAAATTGGTATCAAAGTATAACTGTCATGCTCTTATTGACAAGTTTATTAATCAGTTTCTTCACTGTACTCAATTTTTAAGTATTAAAATTAATTTTTTATGAATTTTAAGAAAGAGAGAAGCGAAAATTTATTTATAGTGAGCAGTTGTGAAAAAATTTGTTTGGATGTAAAGTGATATACACTAACCATTATTTATGTTCGTCACAGCATATTTAAGGTCAATACATAATTACAACACTTGGAAATTAAAATTTTTAATTATGTTTATGAACTGACCTTAAATCTGCTGTGACGAACATAAATAGTGAATTTCACTTTACCTCCTAACAATTTTTTTTTCTTATTCAACTGCTCACTGTAAATAAATTTTCGCTTCTCTTTTTCGTAAAATTTATAATAAAATTAATTTTAATACTTAAAAATTCAGTGCAGTGAAGAAATTGATTAATAAACTTGTTAACAAAAGCATGTCAGCCATAACTGTTGTACTTGATACCAATTATGGTATTATGATACCAATTTAGGTACCAAAAAAAAAAATAACCCAATATTTGGATCAATTTGAAAACCTTATATTGAATCAAAACGTTGCATTCGCAGGGTGTCTAACAAAGATAGAGAAAAAAATTCCCTGACTTTTCCCTGACTCCTCCCTGACATTTTTTGATTTTTCCCTGACTTTTTAATAACCTTATTTCTGCTTTTTTTTGGACAAAAATATGATTACTGACATATTTAACAATAAATTAATTTCTAATGGTAGTAACAAATGGTAATAAAAACTATTCAAGTTTTTTTAAATTTAAAAATTTTTAAATTCACAAAAAATTTTAATTTTTGTAGAAATTTACAGAAATTTCCCTGACTTTGAATGAAATTTTCTGAAATTCCCTGACTTTTCCCTGACATTTCCCTGACCAACAAGATTCCCTGACTTTTCCCTGACTTTCTCTGACTTCCCTGACCGTTAGACACCCTGATTCGAAAATGATACAATTAACAAAAACGCTCGAATACGCAATAGTTAACGTTTGAAAACCGTTAACTTTATTTTCATTTTTCAGCGCTTCCCGACTTCTAAATTGCAATAAAACTCATAGATTCTGAGAATATTTTTTGTTCTCTTTCGATTGCACAAGCCGACAAAATTTTGGCCTACTTCAGAACCAAGACACAGAAAATTAAAAGGCATTAAAATAAGTTGCAACGCTTATTATTTTAATCCAATTTTGCTTATTTTAATTCATTTTGGTATTAAAATAAGCAAAATTGGATTAAAATAATAAGCGTTGCAGCTTATTTTAATACCTTATAATTTTCTGTGATAATAACTAATGCCATAGTAACTAACTGTTACCACAGTAACTAATGCCACAGTAACTAATGCCACAGTAACTAATGCCACAGTAACTAATGCCACAGTAACTAATGCCACAGTAACTAATGCCACAGTAACTAATGCCACAGTAACTAA